GCGCGGCGCGTAATAGCAGTATGATCTAGTCCGCACGTCACTCCGTAAGCTATGGGTCGACGCTCGCGCGGCGATGCTCCGGAGTCAGTCAGATTTCAATCCGACGTGAGTCCGACGTGGTCCGAGGTGAACCCGACGTAAATCCGACGTGGATACGAGGCAAATCGGGTCTCAAGTTGTCGCGCGAGGCCTCCAGGATTTTCCTCGTAAGGTGCGGTAGGGGCCGCGGCACACTCTTGGCCTGTGGGGTCCGATGCATCGCGTGGGAACCTTGCTCAGCGACGGAATCTGTGGCGAATCACACCTTCCCTGTAGCTGTGGCTGCCACGGTCCGCGCATCCCGCTGTCCCCTCAATGCCTGGTCAGAGTGGTCTGCGCGACTGCTATGGCGTGAAGAGCACACGACGCCACTGGCTCAGCCTGCGAGAAGACACAACGTCTCAATCACGCCCAGCTGGCGTCCTGCCAGCTCGCCATGCGGCCAAGACGCTGACACGAGGACCGCTCGGCGCTCAGGAAGGGCCCCGGCTCCGCTGCCACTCCTTAGCGGCAGATCGTGGTGGAATCTGTTTCTTGCCGCGGCTCGCCCTGGCCGGGTAAGCCTCTTCGCTGCTTCTTCAGCGGTCCCCTGTGGCAGCGGGGCGGCTGTACAGTCGGGGCGCTGAGGAAGGAACCTTTTTCGCTGGGGAGGGGCTCGGTGTCCCTTGATTGTCTCACAGTTTGCCTCGGGTTTTCCTTGGATTTCGATGGGAAGCCGAAGCTTAACTTATGGATAGATAGGGGCCTCGTTCCTCATTTAGTGCTCCTTAGGTCAACGCCCCGGCTGTACCCTCTGGCTGGGGGGTGGTCTGCTTTCCTGCCACGGGGGTCCCCACCGTGCCCTTGAGGTGGCCGGCAGGCCACGGCCCGATAGTTCCACATACATATCCGCGCCGCCCCGCAGGCCTCCGCGCGCCGCGGGTAGCGGCATCACGAGGAGGAAGAGGAGGAGGAGGAGGAGGAGGAGGAGGATGAGGAGGGGGAGGAGGGGGAGGAGGAGGAGGAGGAGGAGGAGGGGGAGGAGGGGGCGGGGGATTGAGGGTGAGAAGGAGGTGGGAGGGTTTGGAGGGTTTCGAGTCGGAGGACGACGACTGATCGAGTAAGACCAGTCGCCATGCGAGCCATGGGTGGATGATGATGCTGATGAGGATGAGGATGATGATGAGGAGGAGGAGGAGGAGGAGGAGGAGGGGATGCTAATGGTGAGTATGATGATGGTGGTGGTGTTCTTGGTGTTGATGGTGATGGTGGTCGTGATGATCATGCTGATGCTGTTGATGATGATGGTGATGATGATGCTGGTGATGATGATGTCGGTGATGGTGATGGTGATGATGATGGGGTTGATGATGATGATGCTGATGATGGTGATGGTGAGGGTGTTGGTGATGCTGATGATGATGGCGATGATGGTGATGGTGATGGTGATCACGATGGTGATGATGGTGGTGATGATGATGCTGATAATGCTGATGATGGTGATGATGATGAAGATGATGATGATGATGATGATGATGATGATGATGATGATGATGATGATGATGATGATGATGATGATGATGATGATAAGGAGGAGCAGAGGAGGAGGAGGAGGAGGAGGGCGAGGAGGAGGAGGAGGAGGAGGAGGAGGAGGAGGAGAGGGAGGAGGAGGAGTACGGACGGAGGAGAATTGATTGCGGAATAGGGAGGAGGAGGTGGAGGAGGATTAGAAGGAGGAGAGGTGTGGGTTGAGGCGGAAGACAGCAGGCAGCCGCTGATTTTGTTCTGACGAGATGATCACCCTCTCATGGGAGTCTGCTCCGCCCGACTGCCCGGCTCCTTCGGCCATTCTGACCGGAGACCATGTGCTCTGCCTGCCTGGCGACGACGCCCGAGGCTGGCAATGCAGCCGTGGCGCGGAGTCCCAGGGAGAGGGCGCGCCTCGGCGGCGTTCAAGAGGGGAGTGAGGACTGCGGTCGGGTCCTTCGGGATAGCGTGTCGATCCGCTGGTTTTGGACCACCGCGCATCGGCGCGATTCGCTACATCCAGTCCTGGTCCCCAAGCGTCCACGTCCCGAGCCTTGCCGAGCCTCCCGCCCCGCGGAGCGGAGCGCAGCGTGTCGCGGGGGCCGCCGGGGCAACACGCTGAGCAGAGGTTCCCGGCCGTACCATGGCCTGGGCCATGCAATCTCCGGAGTTCATGGCCCCCTGTTCTTTCGACGATCTATAGGCGTAAGAGTGACCTTTCGCCGGAGTGACCTTTGGTGCGGGCACGGATGGGCCCCCAGATGGCTGAAAGTGAAGCGGTGGCAGCGGCCTGCGCGCTGGCTTTTTGGCCCCCCCGCGGTCCCAAACAGCCGCGCACCAAAGGTCACTCTCACCAAGGGTCACTCTTGCGTGTAGCCGATTCTTCACTCAATGCGCTCCCTTGCCCCTCCTCGTCCGCGCACGTGCCCTCGGCCACGGATGCGCTGCCCCCCTCCCCCCTCCTGGCCCCCCCTTCTCTCCGCCCAGGGCTGCCTGGTCCTCCCTGCGGGGCATGCGCTGCGTGCTTCTCTCCGCACCTGGTGGCCATCCGGGCATCCAGCTGCTTCCCTTCTGCTCGACGCGTGGGCCCCCCAGGGGTCCAGAGCACTTCTCCCCAGGGCGGGGTTTTCGCCCTGAGTCGTTCCTTGCCGCTCCCGAGCCGAGGCCCGGCCGAGGGCCCTCGGAGGCGGAAAACGGCCCCAAACCGCCCGCTCCGATTTCATTGAGGCGTCGGATCTCTAGGCATGCGCCTGGGCCTGCGAATCTCTGGCTCCCCGGAGGAGAGTGGCAAGCCTTTCCCCGGCCTCAGCTGCCTCGATACGCCCGTTGTGACATGCAACGCAACACGTATGCCGTGCTGGAAACGTCCATGCCAATACGCTGCGTGCTGGCTCAGCGTAGGAGCCCACGTGTTGGCGAGTCTGCGTGTTCAGCTGCGTATCAATGCGCTACGCGCTGCGTGCTGCGTCGGTGCCCGCTGCCTCGGCTGGCCGCTCCGGCCTGCTCTACGCGCAACTCGTCCACGTCTGAGCGCTTTCCCCTCCCCCTCTCCCCGCGCCGCCGCCCTCGTCTTGTTCCTCCCTCTTGCAGGCCGGACACTTCGCCTTTCGCTTGCCCCGAACAGCTACGCGCTGGAGCGGACTGCCTCGCCGCCAGCGAAAAAGTTGCGTGTTGCGTGCAGTCGGGGCGCTGAAGAAGGAACCCTTTTCGTTGGGGAGGGGCTCCGTGTTCCCTGGTTGCTTCACAGCTTGCCTGGTGTTTTTGTTTTCCTCTGGCTTTCGATGGGAGATCGAAGCTCAACCTGTGGATAGAAGGGGCCTCGTTGTCTATGTAGGGCTCCTCGGGTCAGCGCCCCGACTGTGCTCGGCCGGCTGAGTTCTGGCGCCCAGGGCTTCCCCCCTGCGCCGCTCGCCGCCGAAAGGCTGCGAGCCTCCCGCCTCGTCGGGCGGAGCGCGTGCGCGGCGCCCGCGCGGCGCCCGCGCGCAGCCCCCATCGCGCGCAGAGCGCTCCGGAGACGTCCCGCCACCAGACCCCGTTCAGGTCATGCCGAAAATCGCGACGCGAGTTTTTGTTGCTATTTTCCTCCCCTCCCTCCTCCTCCTCCTCCTCCTCCTCCTCCTTCTCCTCCCTCCTCCTCCTCCTCCTCCTCCTCCTCCTCCTCCTCCTCCTCCTCCTGTTCTTCCTCTCCTCCTCCTCTCCTCCTCCTCCTCCTCCTCCTCCTCCTCATTTCCCTCCTCCTCTTCCTCCTCCTTTTTTTTCCTCCTCCTCCTCATTCTCCTCCTCCTTCTCCTTTTCCGCTTCCTCCTCCTCCTCCTCCTCCTCCTCGTCCTCCTCCTCCTCCTCCTCCCGCTGATCTTCGGGTCGGGAAGCGGGGTTTTGGGCTCAACGGGAATGGCGACGGGGGGCGGCCCGAGAGCGCAACGCACTTCGGAGCGCAGGTGGCGCGACGTCGCCGCGCTCGGCGCCACCGCCGCCCGTCGTGCGGCAAGACAGCGGCGCCGAGCTGCCGGCGAGGTTGCCATCCAGCCCCTCGCGCAGGCTCGCGGCGAGCCTGGCTCCTGGAAGGACCGCGAGCTGGCGGCGAGGCCAGCCCTGGTGCTGATTGCCCAGGGACGCGCTGTCCGTGGCTCCCGCTGCCACCGCCGGAACTCCGTGCGGCACGTTCAGCGAGTCCCGCCCAGCGGATTCGCCCACGCGTCCGCGGCGGACATCGCGTGGGCTTCTGCAGGGCCCAGGCTCGGCAGAGGCGGCGCTGAGCCCACCTCGTTCGGAACCACGCCGACCGTCGGCGTGCAGCTTGGCGCTGAGGCCAAGCGCGTGGACGCCTCGCCCCTCCTTGCTGGCGCACCCCGGGAGGCTGCCGCTGGCCCCCCCCCCCCATCCTGGCGATGACCTTCCTCGTCCTGGTAGTATTCCTCGCGCTGGCGACGACGCCGATGTTCGTCCAGATGCGGGTGTGCTTCCACGTGGCGTTGCTGGTATTGGCCGTCGTCCCCCCCGCGACGGTTCGGACGCGCAACAGATGGGCGAGCACGAACTGTGCTCCCACGCGCCCGACGTGCCCGAGGACGAGGACGGGAAGGTGGCGGAGCAGTCGCGCGACCGGGGATGCCCCGCGCTGCGCGGGGAGTACGAGCACGCTGAGCAGGTCAACCCATCGCGCCGTTCGCGTGGGCGTTCCTCCGCTTCAAGAAGAGCATGATGCCCCTCTGTGACGAAGACGAGGTCATCCTGACGGTCGCCTGGGCGACCGCGCGAGCGGCTTTCGGCGGAGACGACGGGCCCCAAGCGCAGACGGACGGTGGTTTCGCAGGTGCCAGCGCGTCAGAAGCGCCTCCTCGGGGCGCAGCTGTTCCTCGGGATGCTCTTCGCCTCCCTGATGCTCCCGGCGCGCGCTTGGTCCCCACGGCGGATGTGGCTCGCGCAGTGGATGTGGGCGACGCCTCCTTGCCCGAGCGCACGCCCCTTCGCTACGACGCCTCCCCCTTCGTCCCCAACCTCGGCGTCGCCGCCGCGAGCGACGCCCTCAACGGGGTGGCGGAGGGAAGCGGCCTTCGGGCGCTTGCGGGAGTTCCTCATCTCCCTCGCAGCGCGCGGCAGGCGCCCGAGCGGCGCTGCAGGGGGCGAGGTTGGAGTTCTTCTTCGGCGAGCCCCTCGCGTAGCAGTTCTGAGGTAGCAGCCGACGGGCTAGACCCGTCGCAGGACGGCTTCGATTCTGGCCCGCCGGGTCGACTTTCATCTCAAGGTCGGCGGTGCTGTGCGCGCGTGAGTGCCATTGCCAATCCGCGCCCCTGCGAGCGCCTCCATCTTCTACCTGATCGCGGCGAGGCTCGCTCCCGCCGCTGTGGTCGCATGTGGGTGCGCTCTCCGATGTGCTCCGACATGCTCCGCCTCTTCGTCCTCCGCCGCCTCTCGGGGGCGACTTCCACGATCCCGCGGACCTGGCGGCCGCGCACCAGATCCACGTATCCCCGCTCCCTAACCCCTCTCGAAATATGAACAACAAGACCGGTCCCAGGGCACGGGTCGAGGCCTCTGGGAGCCGCTGCCACGAAACACACCCTGGCGTCGTGGGTCTGGGACCGCGGCGACGTTTCGCCAGCCGCCGGGGTTGGCGACAGTCAGAGAGAGAAAAGGTATCGATACCGCTACCTTCCCCTCGTTTTCTCCTTGTTGGGCCGCCCGCTAGGCCCTCGTTGCCACCTCTGACGCACCTGTGGAGAGGTCCGGAGAGTAGCGGTAGCGGTCTGTAGCGCTACCATGTGGGTTCCTTTGGAAGGCCCCTTGCGGAGGCCCCGGCGGGAGCAGAAGCGAGATGTCCAGAGTGCCGTGGTGGTGGCCAACCCTTTGGCCACCGTCACAGCCGATTTCGCAGCCTCTGTGCCTGCGTGGGCCTCAGAATCGGGGAGCTCGCTTGCGGCCTTGGCCACTGCAGCTCAGCTCGCTGTCCGCTGCACGGTTGCTCACAAGAGCTGTAGCCGATGGCCTATGGATGTCTCTGCTCCGTTGCAGGGTATGGAATCGAGAGAAGAAACGCGATGGCCATGAATAAAATGTCGCGGGAACGTGCCGACGCCGCTTTCGGTTGTGGTCCATGCTGGCCGTCGCCGCTTCGCGAAAAGGCTCCACGACAGGGCGATAACCAGCATTGACGGCGACCGAGATCCACGCCGACGTGTCCGTGCTCAGTCTCGGCCGTGGTCGTCGCTGTCCGTCCCCCACGGGATGTGCAGCGGAGGCCCATGCCAAGAGACGCCTTGCTTGCCTCCACGGTGCCCTGGGTTTCTTTGGTTTCGATGGTTTTTGCGGTGGAAAGCGTGACGTTCTCACACCAAAACCCAATGGACGTCCTGGGGCCTCAGGGTTGGATTTCAGGCGGAAGGTTTCTCGTGGACTGGCCTCCGCTCGTAGCGGACGGCGCCCGAAGTCAGCGTGCGCCCGCTTCGCCACCGAGCACATACTTACGCAGCTGTGGGGCCGCTCCTCCGGGGAGCGTCCTGCGCGCCGGCGGAGCCGCGCGGGGGGGGGGGTGCGCGTCGCCTGCGGCAGCTGGCTGTGGCTGCCCCTGTGCGCGCGTCGCCCTGGACACAGGGGCGCGGCGGGGGCGGCGTCGCCCGTGCACGCCGCGGCCCCGAGACCCCCTCGCGCCGCGGAAAAGTCACGACGGGAGGTCGTTTAACTATCCTCTGTGTTGGGGCCTCGCGCTGTGGAGAACTCGCGACGGGAGGCGTTTCTCTGTTTGGGGCCTCGGGGGGGGCCCTTTTTGCCGGGCCTCGGGGCCGCCGGCGAGCGACGTGGGACGAAGAGCAGGTCCCCGGGGGGAAGGGGCTCTGGATCCAGATGGGGGCCGCGAGGCGAAGACCTTATGACGTCGGGGGTCCGGGCCCGCCCCTCGCGGGAGAGGCGCAGCTGATGGTCTCCCCCCTTCGCTGGCCCGTGCTCCCCCCCCAGCAGGCGCCGCAGCTGTCGCCGCGCCGTTGGTTCCGACGCGCGGCCGTGCGTCCTGCGAAAGGCGCCGCAGGGCACCAGGCAGCCTCCGCCTCGGGCGCCGTGGGGTTTGCCCTGGGCTTTTGCCGCGGTGGCGGCTGCGTCTGCTTGGGCACGGGAGCAAGTGGCATCGCTCGGACGTGTATTTTTCCTTCGGCGAGGACCATCGAGGAGCATCCTTGATCACTTGGCGAAAAAACCACGCACGAAACCAGAAAAAACAGGAAATGAACGTCCGAGCGATGGCCGGGTGTGCCGTGGGTTCGCCGTGGTGCCGGTTTCGTCCACGTGGGCGCGTCGAGAACAAGCGGCGCGGCGACCGATCGGAGATCTGCCTGCGCCAGCGGGCGCCCCGCGGGGTCACCTCATCCCAGGGGCCCGCAGGAGTCTGGGGACACCTCGCCAATTGCCCTCAAAGGTCGAGGAAGACTGTGCCCCAAGACTTCTTCCAGGAGGGGAAGAAACACACAGACACAGTTAATCTTCGACTCCTGGAAAAACATGGGCAAAAAGTGGAGCGCGGGGGGGAAGACGAAAATCCAGAACATATGGGGAAATATGGGGAACGTCCTGGGACTTGTGCCTATTAATGTGTGCCCCCCTTTCTCCCCCCTTTCTTCAGAGCGTGAATTACCCACCCCGCTTTCGCTTCCAGGCAAAACCAAGTCATACCACGTGCCTCCTCGTCAAGCGGCCTGACCAGTACAGGCCGTGGTTTGGCATCGCTTGGTATCTATTGGAAGCGAGGGTGGTCAACAGCGAGGTAGGCTTGTTTGCCCCCTATGTTTTCTTCTGTGTTGGCCCATGTTCCTCGGATCTCGCACGCGGCGCAGTGGAGGGCGCCCGACGGGCCGCAGCTCGCCCCATGTCTCGCTCGAGGCGTCGCCGGCGGGCTCCGAGACCCAGGAAGGGAAGAAACACGCAGACACAACTAGTCGTCGATTCCCCATCATAGATGGGAAAATATGGGAAGTGGATGGGGAAGACAAAGACCGAGAAAAGATGGGAAAATATAGGGAATCATGTGATTTGTGTGTACTTGTTTGTGTGTCCCGGGGCCCCCTTCAGTGTCGCTGCCCGCGCCCCCCCCCCGCCCCGGCGGACAGCCAATTGTTGGCGTGGACCGCCGCGGCTCGCCCTCGTGCGGGGGCGCCGACGTTGGCGCCGGCTCTTCACTCGAGGGAGACACAATTGCAGACCCACTGGTCGTTCAAAGTGGTCGGGTACTCCAGATTTCGTAATAAAAGGGAGGGGGTCTGGACCCTCCAAGACAACCATTTCAGACCCCCCCCCGTGGGAGAACCCTCCAAAACATCGTCCCCAGACCCCCCCAGGCCCTCCAAGATAGCCTGGAAGAGCCCCCCCCCCGAAATGAGACCCCCTCCCTTTATTACGAAATCTGGAGTACAGCCAGGACCCCGGTTAAGGGGAGCCCGTTGGTGATTGGTCCCCGAAGCCCAAGATATGGATTGGAGTTGCTAAAAACCAGGTTTGCCGTAGCTGATGTTTTTCGGGTTACGGCAATTCTGGTAAGTGGAATGGGACGGGGGGGGGGCGCCCCCCGGTACACATCATGAAACCTGGTCCCACTAAACCCAGTTCTGCCAACGCCCGAAGTGGGTATTTTTGGAAGGCCAGGCTACAATCTGAGCGCCTTCCTGCCTCAATGCTCGAGTGGCTCCCCCTTTGCCGTCCTCTTTAGGGGGCGGGTGGACACCCAATATTCAGGGATGGACAGACCTCCCTTTAGTAAAACGTGGTTTAGTGAAAACGACCTGAGGCCCAAACCTGGCGGGCGCAAGCCTGGAAAATAACGGCCACGGCGCCCTCTCGAGAAGCGAAAACGGACAATTCACTAATCGGCGTGTCACTGTTGGGGGTTCTGCCCACCCCCGAAATATGCTTTCAACGCCTTCCTGCTTCATGTTTCTACCCACGTCTTCCGACCGATGGGTGCAGATGCACGCTCGGAGCTCCGCGCGGAGTGCTTGGGTCCTGGCCCGACTCCCCCCCCCTGGCGGCGCCCCGGGCTCCGGCGCGGAGCCAGGAGATCCGCGCGGACCTCCCCAAGGAAGGGTCAACGCTTTTATGTCGGGCGTGTCCCCCAAAACACTAAAAAAATATCCCAGTGCGACCCTGCCTAGGAGTTGGAGCCCCTAGGAAAGCAGCATTAGTAGTAACAGTAAAGCTAAGCTAAAGCTAAGCTACAGCTAAGCTAAAGCTAAGCTAAGGATGAGCTAAAGCTAAGCTAAAGCTGAGCTAAAGCTAAGCTACAGCTAAAGCTAAAGCTAAAACTAAGCTGAAGCTAAGCTAAAGCTAAGCTAAAGCTAAGCTAAAGCTAAGCTAACGCTAAGCTAACGCTAAGCTGAAGCTAAGCTAAATCTAAGCCAACGCTAAACTAAAGCTAAGCTAAAGTTAAGCTAAAGCTAAGCTAAAGCTAAGCTAAAGCTAAGCTACATCTAAGCTAAAGCTAGGCTAAAGCTAAGCTGAAGTTAAGCTAATGCTAAGCTAAAGCTAAGCTAAAGCTAAAGCTAAAGCTCCCAGGGGACTGGGGGAACCGCGGGGCGGGGACTGGGGGAACCGCCCGGGGCGCTTTCCACTGCCCGGCCCCTTTAAGCTGAGAGAGTAAGAACCCTTCTAGGCAGAGCCTAGGTAGGGAAATAGTCCCCAGACTATTTTTGGATTATGTTTCGATTATTTTTGGGGTATGTTTTATTTTCCGTCCAAAATCCCCCTGTAGGGGGACAGGCCCGACTTAAGCCACGCCGAGCCCCCGTCGCCCGCGCCGGGTGCGGCCGGCGGCGCACGGCGCCTCCGCCGTGCGGGAGGCGCGGCCGACGGCGCCTCCTCGAGGAGGACACGCTCGGGAGGAGCGGGCAGGGGCGGGCGCGCGGCGAAGGGGCTTTCCAGGTTGGCTGGCCGACTCGGGCGCAGCTCTCCTCGTCGCCGGTCCTCGTTTTTGCTGTCGGCGTCGCCGCTTGCGTCGCCCTCCTCGTGTCACGACCGACGTGGCCGCCGCCGCCGTCGCCGCCGCCGCCGCTGGCGCCGCTGGCGCCGTTGGCGCAGTTGTGTTGTCAACCCAAGTAGAAGAAACGGCAACAGGAAACATAACGCGTCACAAAACAATTAAGAGATCATCAATGTCCATATTTTCAAGGACGAGTGCTCGGACTTGTCCAGGGGTGCATTCCGACCGGAAGTTCGAAGCCAACCTGGCCGCGGCGAGGAGGAGCCCTGCAGAGGTGCAGGATCGCGGAACAGCTGCCAGGATCCTCGATCTCGTCGTCTTCGTCGTCGTCGTCCTCGATCCTCGGCCTCCTCACCGTCTAGCCTCCTAGATTTGCGTCGGACATAGATTGGGTCGGAGGATCGCTCCGCATCGCCGATGCATCGGCGATGCTGCTCGATGTGGAGCTCGATCTCCTCCGCGCCGACGTCGCCGACGCGTCGCCCAAAGTCGCCGATGCATTGTCGACGCATCGTCGATGCACCGGTGATGCATCGGCGATGCGGCGCGATCCCCCGACCCCATCTTGTTACCCGGACCCCATCCGGGAGGCCTCTGCCGTCGTCGCCCTCGTCGATCTTCGACCTCGTCGCCGTCGTCGTCCCTCGCCCGCGGACCGCTCGCGGGCCGCCGGCCGCTCTCCCGCCCGCGGCACCCCGCGGCAGCCCGCCCTCGCGCAGGCGATGCGCGCGGCCGCCGCGGCGGCCGCCGCGGCGGTCGCGGCGGCATGCCACCTGCTCGGGGCCTCCGCCCTCAAGGAGCCCCCCCTGGCCCTGCGGGCGGGGCTCGGGGCCTCGGGGCTCAAGAGTCTAGGCTTGTGGAGGTCGACTAGTGGAGAGGAAGCGTGCCGCCAAAGAATGTCCAGATGTCTAAAACATGTTTCAAACATGATTTAGATATATCAATACATGTTTGAAGCCTTTTTAGAACATGTTTTACACGTTTAAAACACATTGTCAATTCAATGATCGGATTGTTAGAGTGTCCAAGTGTCCATTGTCATGGCATCCTCAAGTCTAGGCCTCCTATAGATGGGGTCCGAGCAGATGGGGTCGGGGCATTGCGCCGCATCGCCGATGCATCGACGCATGCGGCTGGAGAAGGGGCCCGATGTTCCCCACGCCGACGTCGCGGACGTGTCGCCGACGTCGCCGATGCATCGCCGAGCCGGTGCAATCCGCCGACCCCATCTACGCGGTCCCCATCTGGGAGGCCTCTTCGAAGGAGGCGGGGGTCAATGCACACGGGGGTCAGCCTGACTGCCGGATCCGGGCTTGCCTTCAGGATCCTGCAGGGTCTTGCAGGATCCTGCAAAGCCTGCATGACCCAGCTTTGCATTGACCCTGGTCAGTAGATCCCCGAGGGGCGGGCGTTTTCTCGTGGCGCCGGGCCCCTATCAGCCGAACACGTAGGTGTTGGAAACAAAGGTGACCGAAAAGGTGTTCGAAATTGTGACCGAATCGTGGTGTGGCCGAAAGTGTGATCGACATTGAAGATAGCTTTGGCTTCGAACCAAGAGTTTTGGCCACTGGCGCGTTCGGACAAAATTGGACGCCGGCTTCGGCCGCACTCGGGCAGATTTTCGGGAGATGAGGCAGTCTCGGTCACTACACCCCCCTGAGGGCGATGAGGCTGCGTGATTTTTCGATCCCGGACGTCTTCGGCGATCCTCCGAGGTTTTCTAGCCTCGGGATGCTCTCTCCAGAGGCTGCGCCTCGTCTCAGGGCGTTCCGGGAGTGCCCGGATCGTCCCGCGTGAAGGGCCGCCGGAGGCCCGAATTGTGGCCCGAAAACCATCGGGGTCCCAGATCTCCCAGGATACGATGTTGCTCAATCCCGGCGTTTTTCCGTTTGATCGGCCTCTGGGACCGGGTTCTCGGTCCCAGGGCCAGCAATAGCTCGGATGCGGCGCGGAAGACTGGCCCTGGGGCATGGGTCGGGACTTCTGGGGCTCGGGTTGAAAGAAGGGGATGTCGTCGGATGCGAGCGGCGGTCAGAGGCAGCAGTAGGGTGGGACAGGATCATGGGGGATGCATCGACCCCCGATCGGATAGGGGCCCCACAGCCCCAACCTATCCGGGATGGTGTGTGTTCGCCAACGGGGGCTCATCGCCGATCTGTCGGCCATGTACACGTCGTTCATTTCTAGTCGTGCTCATTTCCAAGTGTGCTCGTTTCTAACTGGTCCTGGCCCCCTAGTGGCCAGGGAGAGGCCCAGGATAGAAGAGTTAGAAATGTAAGGATCTTGGCCCAAAAAAATCAAACAGCTTCCGAAGAATTAGAAATGGACAATGAGTATCGCCGATTCCAGGTCCATGTCTCCCCCCCTGAGCCAGCTCCGCCCTGACGTTGCCCCTCATGAGCGTCGGGGGAGAGCCTCGAGGGGAGGAGGAGGAGGAGGAGGAGGAGGAGGAGGAGGAGGAGGAGGAGGAGAGGAGGAGGAGGAGGAGGAGGAGGAGGAG